TTATATATATATATATATATTAGTGCTGTCAAACGGACGATTAATCGTGATTAATCTAATACAAAATACACGTTTTTGTTTGTGTGTATATGTATTATGTAAATATAAATAAACACGTGCATGTATATATTTAAGAAAAATATGATATGATTATATATTAAATATATTTATATATACTATATATATTGTATGAATATAAATATATACATGTAAATGTTCTGACAGCACTAATATATATATATATATATTTAATATTAAGTCTTTTAAATTCTTAAAAATAAATACATAACACTACAAATATCTGTATTTATGATCAATATATTAATACAAGTTATAATCTCTAATACAATTTATCCTTTAAAAATCTGAAACAAGGAGTAAGTGAAGAATGAGCCGTACTGTCTCACCTGATGTCCGAACTGGTTGCAGGGAGCGCCCAGGATCACGAGCCCCTGATCAGCGTAGCGGCTGTGGAGCTCGTTCATCTGGGTGTAATCCCTGACTGTTGTGCCTCAAAGCGACGCCACATTTTCAATAAGCACCACTTTACCTTTGAGAGAGGAAAAATTCAGGAGGTCCCCTGACAAAAGTTTGGCGGACAGATCATAAATCTTCTTCGCGGCCCCTGCCATGCTCGAACACGCCGTTTACTACGCAGTTCGAAACGCAATGTTTTACCAACAAACCTTCAGCTGAACCTTGAGTCACAGGGAGAGGAGGCGCATAAATACAATTCAAGGAAGTGCATGTTGCATCTTGGGAGGTCAGCAAGAGGTAAATACTGGTAAAATACTGCCATCTTCTGTCAAATGGGTGTATTGTAGTGATGTTACATATGACACTGAAGCTTCAAAGCGCGTATCGGGTGAGCAGCGCAATTTCTCACGAAGCTCTGTGCCGGAGCGAGTATTGTTTTCAGAGAATCACGTGATCAGCAGAAAATGAAGCCTAATATCTGTCCAATCACGTGCGCGTGTCGGAATGTTCGAAACCCCAGATCTTACTTTACGAGTAAGTTTTCATTCAGAGTTATTCAATTACATTTTTAAATACCCAGCCATACAAGTAATATGAAGAATAAAAACTATTTCAAATTAAGCGAAATGTGGATGATGTTAACTGTGACAAGATGATTGACAGGGCAGTTTAAACAGTGACAGAATGCACGTAACTAAGCAATAGAGCAGGGGTGGCGAACATCGGTCCTGGAGAGCCGCGGCCCTGCAGAGCTTTGCTTCAACCCTACTCAAACACACCTGAACAAGCTAATCAAGGTCTGAAGGGTTACTAGGAAGCTACAGGCAGGTTAGTTTTAATTAGGGTTGGAGCTGAACTCTGCAGGGCTGCGGCTCTCCAGGACTGGAGTT